GGGGATTTTTTGAAAAAATCGCTAAAAATCAACCAGACCTCGCACGCGCTTCAATCTTGGCTCCTTTTCTTCTCTTAAGGTGGGGCATGTTTCCGGAACATCCTGACCCTGTCTCTTATACACATCTAGATGTGTATAAGAGACAGGGTCTACTGGCCCTCTTTTGCTCCTTTACAACAAATGTTGCCGTTTGGTAGCATTTCCTATGTTCCAGGCCTGCTAGGAAGCTGAAATTTTGGCTCATAATAGAGCTCGATTTCCTATTGACGAATCAACGGTCCGATTCCCGAAATTCCCCATGGGGAAGACACCAATCCCCAAAGAGTGGGGATTTTTTAAAAAAATCGCTAAAAATCAACCAGACCTCGCACGCGCTTCAATCTTGGCTCCTTTTCTTCTCTTGAGGTGGGGCATGTTTCCGGAACATCCTGACCCGATCCCCCCAAAAATGTGCCCCCCACGGGGGGAAAGGTGAAAAATTTACCAAATTTTCGGGATTTTTTAAAAAGAGACCCGTGAATATTCTTACTGTCGCAAATATGATAATAATGTAGAGAATCCCTAGCTTAATGTTGAAAAAAATCAAGGGTCCCATGTGACCTTCCCCCGCCGAGAAAAAGCCGATTGAATTTTTTGCCCGTTTTCTGTGGAGGCCAAACGGTTGAAGCTAGAGAGAAAATTTTTATGCCAAAATATGCCAAATTGAAAAGTATTATGGCTATACTGATGACCATTTTCCTCTAAAATGCGTGGTTCGCGAGATATTCGAAAAAAATCGTATTTTCGACTTTTTGGCAAAAATTCAAGGCGATACAACTCAAAATCCGTGCATCTCACAGGAACGTTTATTTAGATGAAAAATCATCCCCAGACTTGTTTTATGATATGCTGTTGAAAAAATTTCAAAATTCGAAAAAAAATTTTTTTCGCGATTTTTGCCGGATTTTTTCCAAGTTTCTACCCCACCGCGGGGTGGGGAAAATTTCAAAACCTATCTCCTCCTCCAAAATTAAAGTCACAATTTTCAAACTTTGCACACATGTTGGGCATGATTGCAGGTATGCACTTGAGTTTTTTGGGCTATCTCGGATCATGTATATGGCGACACTCAACCAAAACATTTTTTTTTACCCCGCGGGGGTTTGGGAGAACTGCTCAACTTGCCGCCCTGAAATTTTTCGAGCATATGGGGACCATGAGCATGTCCTGGGGGATTATTTTTGAGGGGGTCATCATTATGAATTTTTTCGAGAAAAAAATTAAAAACCTATTTTTTGGGAAAAATTTCAAAACCTATCTCCTCCTCCAAAATAAAAGTCACAAGCGGCAAACTTTGCACATATGTTGGGCATGATAGCGGGTATGCACTTGAGTTTTTTGGGCCTTCCCGGATCATGTATATGGCGAAAAAAATTAAAAAACTTTTTTTGGGGGAAAATTTCAAAAGCTATCTCCTCCTCCAAAATAAAAGTCACAATTGTCAAACTTTGCACATATGTTAGGCATGATTGCCGGTATGTACTTGAGTTTTTTGGGCTATCTCGGAACATGTATATGGCGAAAAAAAATTATTTCATTTTTTTGTCGAAAATTTTTGAAAAATTTTTTTCTCAGTCATGCAAGAAGCCACAAGTCCCAAACTTGATACACATATCGACCATGATGAGAAGTATGTCCCTCTAAAATTACAGCTCTCTAGCACCATTTTTACGGCTATAAAAAAATTAAAACCTTTCCCCCTCCCCCCCCCAATTACTCGGCAACAAAGCAATTAATTGCCTCGAAACTTTGCACACGTCTAGGGCATGACTTCCTGTACATGCGGTTAAATTTTCATTTGGTCATCGCTTAGTAATTTTTTCCACAAAATCGAAATAATCGTAAAGTTTTGTCGTTGAACCGACGTCCGTTCCTTCGCGGAGTTCTGTCATCTTGAGCATTCTTAAAGTTCAAAATCTATCAGTTAACTTCATTAAAATAATTTACATTGACCAGGAATGATGAACCGTATATAGCGCTACCTTCTCTATACGTATAGCGCTAAAGTATAGCGCTACTTTATAGCGCTGCCGTATAGCGCTGCCGTATGCACTGTGACAGCGAGTGAAGCGCTGTTCCGTCGGCAGTTGCCAGTGTCGCTCTGACTCCCGTCGAAGCAGGTGTGTTGTCGGCTGGCGCTCCCATTGCACGCGTCTCCGCTCTAGGACAGAGCAGACTGTTAACGTATTTGTTTCTATATGGGATGATTTATAACGTGTAGGTGTATTAGATGGTGTATACTAAGGTCGCTACGTGTAGTTGCAGGTGTATTAGACGGTGTAGGTAGACGGTTGCAGGTGTAGACGGTTCCATATTGACCGTAATGAATTAGAAAGAGCGAAGATTAACTTGTTCCATCTATAATCTTATCTGTCGTCGAGATCGATATTCTATCACTTTCCTTGCATGAGTCTGCCCTCAAAATACCTTCATTGAAATCATTCTTATAAGAAAACTAGCAACTTTTTCATGGGAAACTATAATAGGTTATTGTTGCTGCGTAACAATTGACTATTCACTCAGGCAGGTGATAGAACAGTCAGGTGAGTAAGTGGACAGTGTTAGTGAATAGTCTTTCATACTCCCTAAATCCAAATTACTCCGCTAAAAAGTAAAAGAAATGCCTCGAAACTTTGCACATGTCCAGGTAACTCATGCACATGTCTAGGTAACTGTAACTTATGACTGTAACTTATAACTGTTATAACGCCCACTACGGCGCCCAGACCCTGCTGGGATACTGCATTGAGGGCAGGACTACGGGTGTGTGACTGTTACTTATAGCTGTAACTTATAACTGTAACTTATGACTGTAACTTATGACTGTAACCTATAACGGTAACTCATAACTGTTATAACGCCCATCACGGCGCCCAGACCCTGCTGGGGTACTACATTGAGGGCAGGACTACGGGTGCGTGACTCTAACTTGTAACTGTAACTTATTACTGTAACTCATAACTGTTATAACACCCACCACGGCGCCCAGGCCCTGCTGGGGTACTACATTGAAGGCAGTACGACGGGTGCGTGACTGTTACTTATGGCTGTAATCTATAACTGTAACTTATGACTGTAATTTATGACTGTAACTTATGACTGTAACTTATGACTGTAACCTATGACTGTAACTTATGACTGTAACATATAGCTGTAATCGTTCTGAGGCTTCACGTGATATTTGTATCACGTGAAGATCTGTCGTCGAGATCGATATCCTATCAGTCTCCTTTGCAAGAGTCTTACCTCAAAATGAGTTCATAGAAAACTGCAGGTCGAACACTCACTCGGGCAGGTGATAGAATCGCAGGTGAGTGGTGGACGAGTGAACAGCGTTTCTTACTCCCTAAATTCAAATTACTCCGCGACAACGTAATGAAATGCCTTGAAACTTTGCACAAGTGTCGGTCATGACTCCCTGTACATACGCTGTAATTTTCATTGGGATCGTTTTGCAATTTTTCCCACAAAATGGGAATAGGCGTAAAATTCTGTGGTGGAACCGCTAGGCTTCTTCACGAGGATTGAGTAGTAGATAATATATAGAGCGAATCAAGATAGAGCTTGCACGTTTATAGAGCACTAGGTTCACGGCGGGGAAAGTCGAGGCAGAGATACCATGATGATAGAGCACTAGTTGCATTTCAGAGTGAGCAAATCGAGGTAATAAAAGTAGAGCAAATTATTATAGAGCTTCAACGGTGATGTAGCGCCATATGCAAGATCGGTAAAAAGCAGGGTAGAGCTGGCAGGGCAAATGTGCACCAGGTTCTTGGCAGAGCAAATCGAGGAAACGAATGCACGAGGATAGAGCCTTAGGTACATGGTAGAGCAAATTATAGTAGAGCCTGCACTCTGATAGAGCACTAGGTTCATAGCAGAGAAAATTAAGGTAGAGCTTGCATGATGATAGAGCACTAGTTGCATATCAGAGTGAGCAAATCGAGGTAATAAAAATAGAGCAAATTATTATAGAGCTTCAACGGTGACGTAGCGCCATATGCAAGATCGGTATAAATCAGGGTAGAGCTGGCAGGGCAAATGTGCACTAGGTTCTTGGCAGAGCAAATCGAGGAAACGAATGCACGAGGATAGAGCTTTAGGTACATGGTAGAGCAAATTATAGTAGAGCCTGCACTCTGATAGAGCACTAGGTTCATAGCAGAGAAAATTAAGGTAGAGCTTGCATGATGACAGAACTTTAGGTTCATGGAGCACTAGGTACATGGCAGAGAAATCGAGGTAGAGCTATTATCAAGATAGAACACTAGGTGGATGGCAGAGGAAATTAAAGCAGAGAATTACACTGTGATAGAGCGCCAGGTGCATGGCATTACAAATATAGGTAGATATTTCGCGAATAAGGAGAAATTATGATCAACAAAAAATGAAAAGCACTTCTTAGATTTAATGAAATGCACTAACAGATTTCATCGGTTATTAGCATGGATTCACTCGTCCGTCAATTAAAAAAATCTTGATTATCTTATTGTACTTATATTCTATGTATACTCAGTAAAGAGTAAATAAACACAATAACTAATAATACTAGTAGCATTTGTTAAACACGTCTCGGACAAATTTACGGTCGGAACCGCGGCCGCCGGACTCCAAACATAGAAAAAAACCAGCCAATCAACGAAAACCTCGCAGGTTAGGTCTAGTTAGGAACAGGTTCCATTAAAAACAGCAAAAAAACTAGACAAATCCAATAAAACACTAATAAAACCTTTACCGACGCGAGACCGGCCTCGGGTCCTTTAGTAAATTTATCCGAGACCTCCTTCGCGCCATGAGGCCCAGTCATGAGGCTTATTTTTGGTGAATAATTATGCGTCAAATTTATTTTGTCTATTATTAAATAGATCGTTGTTGTTTCAATAGATCGTTACAGTAATTTTTTGGTTTGAGAAAGCTTTTGAGAATATTCCGCGATATGAGAATTTCCGCGATTCCGCGATTTCTCCGGGAAGTTGAATCTGGCCATACTATATTATAAATGCAATATGTTTGAGCATGGGACATGAAGTAACCTGCAGTCTGAATGGCAATATGTCTAATTTCAAAATAGATCAAATTTACAGGTAGGTTGGCTAATTCATGTTCCAGATAGCCTATGTTCAGAGTTACTCCAGCGTCTAGCCTGCCACGAGTTTCACTCTATACGCCAGTCAAGAGATGTTGAGTATTGAAAAAAACTATAATATGTGGCTTATCAGATTTGAAAAGTATTATCCGAATTCTTCAAAATTATCTTTAAAGTACATTAATTGTGGTCGTGGAGTTGACAACTTGTCAGGTATTCACCCAATGTCAAGGCACTGAATGTAGCCACAACAATAATGCTAGGTTTTTAATTACCTAATACCAATTGATGTAATATAAGCAATTGATTTGTTAATTAAATATGACCTTTTTATATTTTTTAACACGTTGACTACTTATTGGTACATATGCGTATCACGAAATGTATTTCTTTAGAGGGTAGTGGTACATAATTCAGGTTGCTTAAAATTGGCCAAATCCGTGAACAAAAAAGGACAAAAAAGGTCAATAATTCAATGTATACTAGTTTATTTTTAGGTTCCGCTATAAAAATCCCATTTATTTTCTTCTTGGAGTATCTAAAATTTAATTAGGAAGTACCTCTATCATACATTTTAGCCGGCCAATGCAATTGAGAAAAACTAAATTACGGAATCTGTCCCAAAAAAATGACCGTCTGGCAACCCTGCTTAAAAAATAGTACAAAAAAATGAAATAATTGTACAAGGTGAAACAATCGTACGACTTATCTTCACTTTATATATGGTAATTGTTGCTATTTCAAAGCTATTCTAACAAAAACTGTACAGATTTGCTACATATGCCACTTTTATTACCAAATTTGCGGCTAAAAATTGCATGTCATTAAAAATTTCTAATGAAAAATAATAAAATGTGATATGAAATGACTCAATTTCACTTTATTTCACTTGATTTATGGTAATTGTTGCTATTTCGAAGCTATTCTAACAAAAACTGTACAGATTTGCTACATATGCTACCCTTATTACCAAGTTTGCCACTAAAAATTGCATGTCATTAAAAATTTCTAATGAAAAAAAAATAAAATGTGATATGAAATGACTCGATTACACTTTATTTCAATTGATTTATGGTAATTGTTGCAATTTCAAAGCTATTCTAACAAAAACTTTACAGATTTGCTACATATGCCACTTTTATTACCAAATTTGCAGCTAAAAATTGCATTTCATTAATAATTTCTAATGAAAAATAAAAAAATGTGATATGAAATGACTCAATTACACTTTATTTTACTTTATATATGGTAATTGTTGTTATTTCAAAGCTATTCTAACTAAAACTGTACAGATTTGCTACATATGCCACTTTTATTACCAAGTTTGCGGCTAAATCTGGCCACTCATTTCAAAAATTCTAATAATTGCTAAAAATTCTAAATGATAAATGTGTTTAATGATAGGCAATGACACTGAACAACAAAAAAACATTCCTCTGCACCAGAATTCCAAACCATAACTAGAGCTGCTGACAGGATTGATCTAGCCAACACTCACCAGCCTGTTTTAATCTTGAATAAATTCAGAATTTTTTAGTTTTCAGGTGTTGAATTTTGAAGTTTTAGGTTGTTCCGTTACTTTTTAGCTATCATTTGCGACTTAAAATCTATTGATATTACTGCAGAGTTTCAATAGCAGAAAAAATTAGCTACAGTCAGTACAGTGCATGCTTGCGCCTTCAGCCTTGGAACAGCTTGAGTACTTGACTTGAGCCAATGCCGCCATCATGCCATTCCAGCTGCTGCCATGGCATGCATAGTGGCAAACCAGAGATTTTTAGAATCAGTTTATTTTTAATTCTCTTATCTACTCAATATTTGAACCAATTTCTTATGTATGATAATAATGGTATCCATGATACTTAACTGGCCTACATATATTCTTATGATATACAGTACTTATATTCTTATAAATTCTCATGAATAAGAAGTTAGGTGATATTTAAATGCAATATGTTTGAGCATGGGACTTGGGACATGAGGTAATTTGCAGTTTGAACAGTTATGTGTCTTATTCTGAAATAGATAAAATTTATTTTATGTTTTCTGGCCAGTTCCTAACTTCCTATATATGTTCAAAGTTAGGCTACTCACCTGTTTTACTCAATATCTATATGCCAGTCAAGAAATGTTGAGTATGGAAAGTAACTAGACAACCCTATGTGGCTTATCAAATGTGAAAAGTGAAATTCTTTCAATGTAGACAATGAAATTATCAATGAAATATTTTAAATGACAGGAAATTTTTAGTGGCAAACTCAATAATAAGGGTGATGCATTAAATAAATAGGGACAGTCTTTGTTGGAATAATTTTGAAATAGAAATAATTTACATAAATCAAGTGAAATAAAAACCAAATATGTCATTTCATATCACATATTATCAATTTTACTTAAATTTTTAAATGACAAGCCATTTTTAACGTCAAACTCAGTAAATAAGAGTGACGCATTGGGTAAATAGGGACAGTTTTTGTTAGAATATTTTTGAAAAGGCAACTAGTAACTTAGTTGCGTAGAGAGTAAAACTGTATGCAGGCAAGTAACTGCTAACAGATCTTGAAACATGAATTAAATTCTATCTATTTGGAATAAAACATGTTGCTGTTTGGATTGCAGGTTACCTCGTGTCCCATGCTCATTTCTGACTGCTGTTAGCTATGAATTTTCTGGCTACATTTTGTGCCTTGAGATTGGGTGAATACCTGCACAGTTCTCATGTCCACAATAAATCTGCATGCATCTTAATGAGCATGGGACACCAGGTAATCTGTAGTCTGAACAGCAACGTCTCTTATTTTGAGAGCTTGAAACATGTTTTTGTATAATTTTTAAAATTACTCACAGCTTGATTATCATGGGATATGTTGAGATAATCACAATGTGGTTTTAAATGCAATATGTTTGAATTATTCCATTTTCTTACATTTATTGGCAATGAATCTAATATATTATTTTATTTCTTTTCAAGATATTGAATTTTATTGATCTGCATTCAAAATATTTATTACTACAACAACCCAGCTATAATCAAGCAATTAGCAATTTACTTTGAAACCAATTCAGATAAACTTTTGCATAACTTGAACAGAAGGGTATTGATCACTTACCATTCTAAATATGAGCATCAAAGCATGTACTTGCAGTTCACACTGAAAGAATTTTACTTTTCACATCTGATAAGCCACATAATATAGTTATTTTCCATACCCAACATTTTTTGACTGGCGTATAGCTTAAAACTGGTGGCAGGCTGGTAACTTTGAACAAATCTTGGGACAAGTATCAAATTTTAAGTAATTCGGAATAAAACACGTTGCAGTTCAGACTGCAGGTTACCTCGTGTCTTGTGTTCATTAAGATGTACGCTTTAGGGGATTGGTGTTATACTGTCCTTAAAATTGAAATTATAATTGAGCTTATTGCCATATTTTAGCTCTCATTGCAAATGTCTGTTAGTTATGAATTTTGTGACTGCATTCTGTGCTCTGAGATTGGATGAATCCCTGTTTAGTTGTCATGTCCTTAATGAATGTACTTAAAACAAGGTTTTGTATGATGAGACTTGTATATTTTTGCAAGTAATAATTGAAAGTGAGAGGGGAGTTTTTCTTCAAAATATTTTTGAGTTTATTAAGAGCTATAACCTTTAAATTCAGGAATAATTGTTTAAAGTAGAACCTAGTTTTTACAGTTTCTCAAGCCAAACTTCAATGAATATTTTCTAATATTGTAGGGATTATATAGGTATCTATTTATCATTGCCTGAATATTATTCTCTCATTATATGCCCATTTATTTTGGGCAATATCAAAATGCCTATTAAAATAAATTTTTGTATTCAAGAATAAACTTGAAAATTCAGGTATAATTGTATTAAGTGGAACAGTGTTTTGAGGTTTCTAAACCCAACCTAATAGTGAATATATTCTAACATTGTTGGTTATATCTTTACACTTTTTCATGTATATGAATGTATGTTAACCATTGATGTGGTGAATAGAAAACACTCTATTTACTCATCATTTTGATGAGACAAATATTATTAACTAGCTCTGTTCACTTTTGTTTTCCCATTTGTCATCCATGAATCATTGAAGTTGGGCACTTGTTGGGCAGATCATGATGGGTGCCAGTGGCAAGTGGCTGGCTTGGGTGGCAGCTGCAGGTCAAATATGGATGATGTTCTGCGAATCCGTGTTCCTTCTGCTGCTGGTGTTGATGTCACGAGGCTGATCGGAGACGGCTGCCACAGTGTGAGATATTATAATTGAAAGCTGTAGTTTGATAACATGCACATTTGCAGACATTTGTTGTTGAACTTGGAAGACTTTGTTGTTGAACTTGGTGGTAAGAATTATGTCCATGTCTTGTTATGAATATTTATATCTTTGTTATGACCTGCGTTATTATGATTCTCATAGTTCTTCCTCAGCCTGCAAGTTAGAGATTACATGTGCCATGATCTTCTTTCTCTTGGCCAGTTTGTGCTGAGGACGAGATGCTGGCGTACCTGAGCAAGTTTGGGTGCGCCTTCAGCAGCAAGCGGTGCGCCTTCAGCGACGTGCGTCGCTTCCTGCTGTTGCTTCCCAGTGACAGCGTTGAGGCACCAAGCCCAAACTCAAGGATTGCGTGAATCTTGATGACAATGGATCCTATTGGTGTGAGCCTCAACTGCTATTTATTTATGGCTGCTATCAAATATGCGCAATATACCGTTTATCCGTTGTTTATCTTGCAGCCTTGTAATTACACACCTAGTCAATGTCAGTAGCCAATGATGTGTAAAAAACGGACAGCAGACTTATTTCTGCCTCATATAAAGTACAGATAGCCTATTTGCAAGTTAATTTTCTGCTGTTCGTTACTAATTTTTTTTTGTGCATGGAATGATGAACAAAATATTCCAGTCATTTCTACACGTGATAAAAAGTTTTTGATATACAGACTGGCGAGCCGATGATCCAGCCGTACAGATGCGGCTCCCTGACGCGCATTCCCGAGTTCAGAGAGCGGCTCGAGCGCTCGGTGCACTTCGGACAGCGCTGCCACCGTCGTCCTCATCAACACTCGAGCCTTGTTCCTGGACCACGCGCAGCAGGTCGATGTTTTTCAGCTTTGCGTTTTTCATGCTCTCATGTCATCACCTGAAATATTTTCGAGATCTTGTGTGTTTTGGAATATGTGCTTCTTCACTAATAATGCTTGGTTTTCTGTTGCTTTTGTGTGACTGATCATTTTTAACTAGCTAGTACATTGGTTTTCTCATCATGGAAAATAGATGCGCCCTCTCAGGTAAGCGTCTAACAACTTTATTGTGCTTTTGAACTTAGTTTTAGCTCGTCGCGTTGCCAAATGTCTTTTTTATATTGTCGCACTCATAAACTTGTATTATTGTGTTCATAAACTTGTATTATTGTGTGCTCTTGACTTGCAGTTGGAGTGGATTTTTCCTCGTACATCGCGTGGTTGGAAGCCCTGCAGCCCGTTCTACAGAAGAAGAAACTTAAATAAAGACGTTCAAGCGTTTAACCTTTGTCTATTCTAACCTTTTTATTTTTTTTAACGTTTTTCCAAGTAGCGGTGTAACAGCAAACTGTTAGCATTCCAGAATTTTAGCTAAATTTGTATTTTCCAGAATTTGATTCCCGAGATCGAATCCTCGCTAAACAAACGTGGACGAAACGTGGTTAGTCTTGCATAAAATGGGAGCCACGTAGAGAACTGCTACGAGACATTGTATAAAGCCATTTACAGGAGAGATTAAAGTAGACAAGTGGATGCAAGACATGCTTAGAAAACTGTTGTTTACTAGGGGGATGAAGATGAATGATAATTGTAATACGTTAAATAGAAACTGTTCCAAACTCATTCCTATGCGAACAAGAAGGATTTATTAGTATGAATTACATGATAGGATGAATCTAGGTTTTTTCATTCAATTCTAGTTTTTTTCGGAGATATAATCTAGGTTTTTCAAAAAAATAGTCGCTGGTAGCACTGTGACGGGCAAGTGGCAGTGTCTGTTTGCCTATTCGCTTAATTCAGTGGTTCCTAAACTTTTTCAGGCTGGCGCCCCCTTTGGCTCCCTAGTGAATTTCTAGCGCCCCCAACAGACACATATAAAATCATGCGCCTCTTTCTAGAAAATTTAGTACGCTGCAATTTTAAAAGATAAAGATTAAACACAAAAGTGTATTTCACAAATAGAACCCCTTTTAGTGAACCAATATGTTTTTCATCCCTTTTAACCATTTCAGCACTAGAAACCTAGGACGTCTCGGGCAAATTTACGGCCTGACTCGTGACCGGTCTCACGACCAATCTCCAAATTCAATTATCAAGTAATATCTCCCAAACTAATGAACGCAGCTCAATAAAACTTGTAACATGTATTCATCAGAACTTGACGGAGATGTTTAGCTTGCGAAAATTTTTTAATATCTCCTTCATTCGTGAGTTATACAGTATTGCGCTACAGGCCGAAATTCGCAGTGATCAAAGAATTTCTTCCAAACTACCGAACAGATTTGAACGAAATTTTGAATATACATTCATAACTACTGAATGGTGTTTTTTAGATTAAAAAATGTTTGATTATACCGTCGTTTGCGTGATTTTTTTCATTTCACTGTCACTCTTGATTTCACACTTCCTTATTCGCTTTCGTTCGCTAGTCATACAGATACAGGAGGAACGTACAAACAGGAAGATACAGGACATACAGATACAGGAGGAACGGACAAAGAGTGCGGTAGCCCAGATTTCTGAAGTGCAATGTGCTCACGTGCTTCGTACTTTGTACGCACCGTGGTCGCAGATTAGTGCCATGCGTGTTGCTGGTTCTGTCGGAATCCCAGAGTTTTCATGTGAGAATTAGGCGCCTAGCCTCGCTTCTTGCGAGGCTAGGCGCCCCCGCGACTAAAACAGAGGCTTCTGGGCATTAGATTGTTACGGCCGTAGGGCCGTAACTGCTATTTGTTATTAGATACTATGGAATAATATTTATCAATTACTTGTAATTATTTTTAGTAATTCGTTTCATTTTTCGAGAAGAAAAATTGCATTCAAGTACAATATATGAAATGTTACTACCTTGTTTTTTGTTCTTTTCATTTATATGCATTCATCCAGGAATTTGAGTTCTCATATCGTTCTTTAATATCGCATTTTAACATAATTCCAGTGGTATGCACCATGGATTTATTGCAATTTTTGAATTTATAAAATAGTTTTTTAATTTCTGTGCTCACTTTGTAGGTTGGAAACGTGTGGGCAATTGTAGATCCATTAAGTGGCGTCGTCACATTTCTTAATGTAGGTATTTATAAGAAATACGATGAGAAAAGTGCATTGCCAACAACAGAAATAAGAATAAATGTGTGAAAAATGAGCTGGCGTCCAAGTATGCAAGAGTTTATTTGAAAACAGGAGTTAGGGTCAAGGAGAGTTCTGTTTATTTAATTTTCGTCGAAAATTCGATATTCTAGCCAGCTGTTTACAATTTGCTATACACTGGAGAAGGGTGTTTTGTTGGTTCGGTAGTGTTATGGGAATGTCTGTAAATCAATGGTTGACGGTCTTTCAAGATTTCAATTTATTATCATGCGAAAGCACCGAATTCGTGTGCACGAAAAATTGAAACCTTTATTCGGATGTGACTTGTGTGCTTTAGTTTATTAGAAATAAATGTAGTTTAGGGTTTATATGCTTCCATACTCGATGAAAATATTAGTCAATTTCAAAAAGAAATGCTTGAAGGTAACAAGCTAATTTTTTAATTTAATGTATTCTAAATTTTATTTAAGCTAGTTCTTTCAATCCTGTGATTGCGAAGAATAGGATTGCATTTGCTACAGCGTCATTTGATGCGTTGTCTAGAAGTGTTGTTTGGAAAGTCTAAAACTTCGTTTACGAAATCGAAAAATTTCTCTTCGTATTTTGCTAAGTAGGTTTGGTTTGCTTCGTTTTTCGGTAAGTTATTTATTAAGCAAAGCCTAGGGCCTAGGGTAGCTTCAGGGTAAGGTGGCGAGATTATTCCAGGGAAGCTGTGTTGTCATAGCAAGTAAAGGTTTCTTAGGAAATTTACAGATTGTCTATATTGCAAAAATCTTTGAAATTTACTTGACAGCTTCTAAAATCAGGTGAATTATATATTCACTGAATGAATGTCATTTTTACCTGGCAAATTCCTAATAACCAAGGCTGTGAGTTAATATCTATTCAATATATTAACTGTCATTATTTCTAATGCATGCATCTGAGGTATCACTTCATGTGTTGGAAATTCTGATGCATACCTAACAAGGTATCTGGAATATTGTTGAAGAATAATAATGTTGTCGTTAGTTATTTCAAATGATTTTATTATAATAAAGAAAATAAAATTATCCTAGACTTAAATGCCACAAATAAGCAGATTTTATTTATGGCCTATTATGTTCTCTAGCACCCAGAAAGGTGCTGCATGTATGCAGGTGTATGGCAGATAGATTTTCACCAAAATATTAATTATTACTAGTGTAGGTATATAATGTACATTACATTCATGCTTAAATTCAATTTATATATAATCTGTCTTTATTTCAGTGCATTTATATACCTATGGTTCATGTGCTCTTGCATACAAATTTATTTATAAATCTTACAAAATTATTTGACAGTATTATGAAATTTCAGAAAGCTAACTGGCAAGAAGTTTCAGCTAATTGGCTAGAAGGGTGTACATACAAGCAAATATAACAGTTTTGGTACTGTTATCTATTGTATCCAAGTTCAACCCAATGGAATGTTGTAAAATTCATTTTCATTAGTCTTTGACTTTCTCTGGCATCAATATGACATCAATACATTGTTTATTAGATTCCTGATGGGACGACGACGCCGCCGTGTTACGTGTTCCATGTGCGGTGTACGAAAACACAACAGAAGAACTTGCAAGCGACGCGCGCTTCATAGACCGGCGGCCGTTTCTATCGAGGATATGGCTCCAATGGATCTCGTCGTTGTGGAATCACCGAAGGCCGCTAACGATTTAGAAATCGAAATATTTGCGAGTGGATTGTTTTGTGTGACAGGATTGGTTCCGTGTGACATGATTGATTTTGAATTTAGCGAGTAAATCTATTGCTAGGGTCTGTGTGAGCACGCGTTGGATAAATTTATCGGTCAGAGTGTAACCAATTAATTTGCTTGATTGTGATAGATGATGTGAAGACTAACAGAGGGTGGCCCAGTGGTTACAAGTTCTGAGCACAATATTGGAGCATAGAGGCGAGGGTTGGATCCCAGTTCAAATGTTAATGAGCGAGTGTCTTTGTATTCTGTCCTGTGGCCGTAGATCCTGCAAATGCTATGGTGATGAGCCGCTTGGTGATCGTGTTATTGAAGAGTAGGTGGCGAGCCGATGGATGGATTTATCCAGTAATGTGTCACGTGTTCATGTTTTTCGTACTCGCCATTGTTGAGCGATTGGCGTCATGCCTGTTGCGGAACTCTACAGTTGAAATTAGGCGCCAAGCCGGAACGCCCCTGCTAGGCGCCTCTGCTATGAATGCACAGGCTATTGTGTATCAGATATTAACGGCCGTAGGCTGTAAATAATACATCGAAGGATGTTTCTGGGTCAATTTTGTGTTGCTTATATTTATTGCTCATTACGTAGATTTACCACTTGTGTTTAACGTTACGTCGTTTCGTTTTATAATGTTTCGTGGGTTTACCGTGTTATCTAGTTTTGTAACCATGTTTTGTTACTTGGCTTTGCTTTTGATTAATTGTGCGCGATTTAGTTGTACGAGCAATTTTTTGGTTATTTGATCAAATATATTTGCGTTTTTTGCGCTATCTCATTCATTCGTCAGCTATGGAAAGATCAGGTTCCAAAGGCCGGATCCCTTGTGAATCAAGTCACGATAAAGTCAAGAATCGGCAACAGGCCATGGGCCTATTTATTCAACGCCGACACTTCTATTCTATTCTATTCTAAGCGGAACATGATTTTGAAATTATGTATATTGGGAGGCGAAAGATTTTCTGAAAATGCTTCATGGTTATAGTATGGTGGTAGTTGACAATTGTAAATCGGATTGTGGTTAGAGTGAAAAGAGCACTGTTGAACAATTGCAGTCTGTAAAGGTCTGCTATTATTGAGTTGATAAGTGTTCTAGGTGTAGTGATTTTATAGCGTTTATGAAGTCATTTAGCAATTTTGGGATGAAAGAAGCAGTGATTTACTTAATTGATATCTATGTTTGCGAGGTAAATGGCAATAGAAATTTATATAGGTTAAATACTTATTAGGTAAGTTTGGTTTGAGAAACGTATGGTAAATTAATTGGGATTTGATTCGGTTTGGGTAAATTTTCGTAAGGCTCAAAGTGGCGTTAAATGGTCTTTGGCTGCTCAGAGACGTTTGACTGATTACTGATTTTTTTTCTTTGCTCGGTATGAAATACTACTTGCAACGCCTGAAATGTGGATGAGGATCATCGGAAAAATTTGTTAGTCCATTCAATGAAAGTTGAGTTTATTGCCGTTTTAAAAAGTGAACTATTAGCTTTTCTCCAAGGACCGATAGTAATTTTATGTTGAAGTGACGGAGGTTGATAGTTTCTGTTATGAAAAAGACGAACACTAGAATTCTGCATTAATGAGAAGATGAAATATTTCTACTACAGGAACTGTATTTTATAATGTTTCGATTCAAAATTCGTTTTTAGTTCTCTTAAGTCAGGTTGATTAACCTTTGCTATAAATGGGGCATATTAACTATGTTACATGTTACTTATTATTTAACAAAGTATATGAGTTTTTAATAGGGTGGGCAAACCTTTTGTCTAAATTAATTTGGAAAGGGTTTGCTGTCTTCAGTCAAAATTTAAGAGGTTATTGACTAGTGGTTACTGACTAGCTTGCCGATGAGATTTTGTGGTTTAGGATTGAATAATTCATGAGGAAAAAAATACAAGAATGGGAGAAAGGCAAAATATTTGTTGAAATTTGAGTAGCAGAACTCTCCGTTATTGCGGAAGAATAAAATTTACGCATGTCTTATGGGTTACATTTATATGCGTTAAATACTTTTTAGATTATAGTCAGCTAATACTCGTGTATAGGTATGTTACATTAAAAATTTTTGAAGTAGTGCAATCGATATGAGATTGGATTGAATCATACATTTAGAACTTATAATTTGAGGCAGTATCGTGGCCGCAGAATAATTTCAAGTGGGTAGTAGTGTAGTACCATTAGCAAAACATAATCTTAAATAAGTGATTGCTTTTTAAAATTTGTTCTGTCAAGCTGTTTTAGTGTTTCATTTGATGACAGGTGCCTGCTGTTTTACTTATAGAAAGAATTTTGGCGAAGAATAATTAGAACAGGAATAAATTTGCTGCAAGGTGCCTATTTTGCACTGGTGATGAATTACTGATGTTATTCAGCAGAATTGAGAATTCTGGTGAAATATTTCTTAGGTCATTTTGAGAGAGCTTAGGATATTCAACAAGATTATAAGCTAGCTAATCTATATTTTTAAATATATTTGGATTTTCTATTTACTATTTAAATTATGATCCATGATGACTGATGATGACATGTCTATGTGGAAAATTAGGTAGAGGTCAAAAGCTTGCTCTTTGTGTAGTTATTATTGTAAGATGTAAAAATTTTTTTTCTCTAGATATTTGAAAATTATTTTGCTGGGTATTAGCTGCAATTTGAATGGAAAACCGCATTCTCTTTTAGATTGGATGAAAAGAAAAAATGTTGAATTATGTTAAAAGGTTTCTGGTATTTTGTTAGTTTAGGTTTATACGGTTAGGTTAGATTAGGGCTGCTAGGCTAGGTTAGGTTAGGTTAGGCAAGGTAAGATTAAGTAAGGTTTAGTGACATTGTATAAAGTTATGCAGGGTTTTAAATGTTGGTAATGTTAGGTTATGCTTCGGTATGTTTATCTCTATTTAAGGTGAATTTATGATGAGTGAGGATAGGATTGAGCCGTTTAGGTTAGATATCGTTGGGCAAGGTTAGGTATGAATAATTAAGGTTACATAGGTTAAGATAGGTTAGGGATAGCTAGGCAAAGATGGCCAAGGTGATCTACAGAGATATCAGGCACGGTTGTAAAATAATCACAGAAGTGCTGAATTCGGTTTATGTTTTCGGAGTTGTGTTTGAGCTAAAATATGATAGTTGCAGAATGAGCTGACTATTACTGGCAAGCTGCTTGATGCTGCAATTGGATAGATTTGAATTATGGCTGTGGGTATCGGAATATGCTTTTTGTGCGCGATGTTTTGTTGGAGTACCGAGTTTTATATAAGAGTTTAATATTGGGAAAACGCAAGCCATTGTTGTTGAAAATTGACGGCGTGACTGATGAGTGATAAAGATTTCAGTGCTGCGATTTTAATGATGGCTTTTTGAGAATGATTATTTAGATAAGTGATAAGATATACGACTGTGGGAATATATATATTGTAATTGTCTGTATTATAGATAGTGTGTGGGGTTGTTTGGAGTGAGTGAGTTGGTGATGATGTGTTTGTCTAGAGAGAAGATTGCGCTAAAGTGATTGATGAATTTGGTATATGTTGTTTATGATATTATTTTTGGTTGTTTTAGTTTGTATATGTTTGTTGTATATGTGTGTGTATTATTGTTGAGGGATGTTGCGGTTGTGATGGTCCCGTGTATTCTGGTTACACGCGTGGGACCCCGAAAAAATTTTCGTAGAAAACCACCAAGACAAAATCCCGCACATCGGTAACTCATCTAATGAGGACGATGACGAGGTCTGTTCACCATCTCCCTACCTCTCACGAAATTTGTACTTTTGGCGCCATTCACCATGTTCCAGGCCTGCCAGGAAGCTGAAATTTAGGCTAAAAATCAAGCTCGGTTCCCTATTGACGAATCAGGAGTCCGATTCCCGAAATTCCCCATGGGGAAGACACTATTCCCCAAACAAAGTGACTTTTTTCAAAAAATCACCAAAAATCAACCAGACCTCGCACGCGCTTCAATCTTGGTGCGTTTTTCTTCTAAAAGATTGAATCACTTTTCCCGAGCATCCTGACCCGAACCGCCGAAAAATGTGCCCCCCACGAGGGTTCAGGGAAAAAATTGAAAAAATTTTTGACAAGTTTTTAAAATTAGAAAAAAAATTATTTGCACCTTGCACTTTTGATAGATTGTAGAAAAAAATTTCTTCTTTCAGAATAATTTTACGAACAAGCTCTATATTTTTTTTTCGCAGAGAAAAAGCCGATTGAAATTTTTGCCAGTTGGTCCGTGGAGGCCAAACGGCTGAAGCTAGAGAGGAAATTCTTACATCAAATTGTCTAAAATTGAAAGTTAATAAGGGCTTATATC